GCAATCGTTGCGCAGCTGCTTGCGCTGTGCTGATGCGCGGGAAGGCGCAGTGCTGGATGACTCGGGCTGCTCCCTCCCCCGACCCTCCTCGATCCTTCTCCGCGATCCCCCTTCTCCACGCTCAACTTTTTCCTCCACATCCTCCCTCTCCTCCCCCTGCTCCTCCTCCTCCCCCTCCTGGCGGCGGACGCGCGTTCGCCCGCGCCGTCCGGAGCGCAATGATCGGGAGCCGGGGGGTCATTGCCCACTCCTCCGCAGCGCCTGCGCCTCCATCCCGGCGCGCCTCAGATCCACGGCAAATGCGACCAGGCCAGGGCCCGGGCAGCGCCGGCGCTCGCTGGTCTCCGCCACTGCCGCCGCGGCCCCGTCGCGCACGGCGCGGCCCCGCCCGGCGGTTGCGCCCGCGCCCAAAGACGCGTCGGCGATCACCACGTCGGCGTAGGAGACCCCAGCGACGAGGTCGGCGAAGGCCACGACCAGCCGCGCAGCCTCGAGGGAGCCGTCCGGGCGCGGCCTGTCCCAAGCAAAGACGAACTGTTCCGCCCTCACGCCCGCGGCGCCCCGCGCCGCCAGCCAGCGCGCGAGCCAGTCCCGCATGCCGTCGTGCTTCAACCTCCTCCTCCTCCTCCTCCTCCTCCTCCTCCTCCTCTCCTCCCTCCTCCTCATCATCATCATCATCATCATCATCATCATCTCATCTCATCCTCATCCTCATCCTCATCCTCATCCTCATCCTCATCCCATGCTTTTCGTAAGATGGTCGGCTCCATCCTCCTCCTCTGTCTACGTTTTCTCCTCCAACCCCTCGTCCTACCCTCCCTCCTCTTCCTCCTTTTCTTCCTCCTCCTCCTCCTCATCATCCTCCTCCTCCTCGTCCTCCTCCTCCTCCTTTATTCCTCCTCCTCCTGCTTATGTTTTTCTCTATGCCTTTTTTTCCTCTCCAAATAGGCTTGCCATATAGGAGTCCTAGCTCATCATAAGTAATTGGTCTTTAGCCCCCCACCTTTGCCAAATGGCACCCCCCCTTATTTCCAATTGCCCCCCCCTCCCCCCCCCCTTTCCCAATGACACCCCCCTTATTTCCAATGCTTGTTTGCTTGCGTGCTTGCTTGCTTGCGCTTGCTTGCTTGCTTGCTTGCTTGCGTGCGAGCGTGCGTGCGTGCTTGCTTGCTTGCTTGCTTGTTTGCTTGCATGCGCGTTTGCACGTTTACTTGCTTGCTTGCTTGCTTGCTTGCTTGCTTGCACGCTTGCTGGCTTGCTTGCTTGCACGCTTGCTTGCTTGCGCGCTTGCTAGCTTGCGCGCTTGCTTGCACGTTCGCTTGCTTGCTGAGTTGCGGATTCCAAGCATGTTTGATTCCTCTGATTCCTTGATTTGAGTCGTCTAACCTTTCTGAAGTCAACATTGGCTGATATGTTATATTGTGGGGAGAAAGATCATTCGCGGTGCTTTCCAATGAAGTCCCGCTGTGCGGATTTTCAACAGAATCGATGTGGTGCGTTTTCTCATGGATTCCTGTTGAGAGGCGTTCCCATCGAATTCCCTGTATGGCGTTTTCCGAAGGATTCCTGCTGTGAGGGTTTCCAATGGAATCCCCTTTGCTGTGTTTCCAAGGGATTCCCGCTGTGACGGTTTCCCATAGAATGCCGTTGTGGTGTATCCCAAATGATTCCTGTTGTGAGGCTGTCCAATATAATCTCTTGGTGGTGCTTCCCAGTGGACTCCGATTGTGAGGCTTTCCAAAAGAGTATATTCGTGGTATTTTCGAACGGATTCCTTTTGTGCTGCTTCCCTGAGGGATCTCCTTGCGGCGCTCTCCAACAAATTCCTGTTGTGACGGTTTACACCAGAAACCCTTTGCGGCGCGTTCGAAAGGATTCTCATTGTGAGGATTTCCCGTTGGATCCCGCTGTGGTGCTTTCCAAAGGATCCTTGTTGCGAGGCTTTCCAATAGAATCTCTGCGCGGTGCTTGCCAGAGGAGTCCTGTCGTGAGGCGTTCCAATAGGATCCCTCTGCGTCGCTATCCAAAAGATTCCTGCTGTGAGGCTTCCCACTTGAATCCCTTTGTGATGCTTTTATCCTTTGTACGGCTTTCGAATACGTTCGAAAAGGTTTTCCGGTATGAGGCGTTCCCACGGAATCCCTGTGCTCCCCAAAGAAGATTCCCACTGTGACGGTTTCCAAGAGAATGCCGTTGTGGTGCTTTCTCAAAGGATTCCTGCTGCGAGGCTTTCCAACAGAATCTCGGCGTGGTGCTTCCCAATGGATTCCGATTGCGAGGCTTTCCAATAAAATATCCGCCAGCGTTGGCCCCAAATAGATGGGAGGACAGGAGGAAGACGAGAGGAAGATGGGAGGAGGACGAAAGGAGGACGGGAGCAGGACGGGAGGAGAACAGGAGGAGCAAGATCAAGCAAGCGCAATCAAGCAAGCGGAAGCAAGCAAGCACAAGCGAGCAATAACAAGCAAGCAAAAGCCAGCGATCAAGTGCAAGCAAGCAAGGGCAAGCAAGAGCAAGCAAGCGAGAGCAAGCACGCAAGAGCAAGCAAGCAAGTGCCGTTGGAAAAGGGGGTGGGGCATTGGAAATAAGGGGGTGGCCATTGGAAAAAGGGGGCGGGCTAAAGACCAGGATTTCTACAGGCCAAGCCTATTTGGAGAAATTCTTTGCGGTGTTTTTCAAACAAATCCGTTTGGTTGCTGCGTTTTCCAAAATAAACGTGTTTGCGATGCTTTACACTAGAAACCCTTTGCGGCGCGTTCCAAGGGATTCTCACTGTGAGGATCCCCCGTTGAATTCAGTTGCGGTGCTGTCCAAAGGATCATTATTGCGAGGCTTTTCAGTAGAAGTTCTGCGCGGTGCTTTCCGAAGGACTCCTGTCGTGAGACTTTCCCTTCGAATCCCTCTGCGGCGCTATCCAAAATATTCATGTTGTGAGGCTTCCTGATCGAATCCCTCTGTGGCACTGTCCGATGGTTTCCTGGTTGTGCGGCTTCCCAATACGAGCTCGCAGTTACGCTTTCAAAAAAGCTTTCTGGTGTGAAGCTTTCCCATGGAATCCCTCTGCGGTGTTTTCCGATGTGTTCCTGTTTGCGCGGCTTCCCAATTGGAACCCCTTAATGGCACTTTCCAACTCAGTAGAAACCCCGTGTGGTTATTTTACAGGGACCCCTTTACGGTACGTTCCAAAAGGAACCCGTCATAGTGTTTTCCAAGAGGATTCCTCTTGTGACACTTTCCAGTAGGAGCCTCTCGTGCTGCCTTCCAACAGATTTGTTGTAAGGATTTCCCATGCAATCCTTGTGGTGTTTTCGAAAGAACTCCTGTTGCGAATCGCTCCGATCGAATCCATGCTGTTGCGTTGATCGAAGGATCTGTGTTGCGAGGCCGTCCGATAAAACCTGTTCGATTCCTTGCCAGTGGTTTCCCCTTGCATGTTCCCACAGAATCCTTCTGGGGCGCTGTCCACAGGATTCCGACGATGAGTGTTTCTGACAAAATGCGTGCTGCCAGACAGCGCTTTCCAAATAATCCTTGTTCTGAGGCCATACACTGGAATTCCTGTGTAGCATGTCGCACAATGTTCCAAGACCGAGGCTATCCAATCAAATCTTCTGTGTTGTCCAAAGGTTTCCTCCTGTGACGCTTCCCAATCAAAGCCTCAGCAATGATTTCTAGACGGTTTCGTATACGACGTTTTCCCATCGAATCCTTGAGTGCAATGGTTCCGAGTGGATTCTTCTTGTGAGGCCACAGAAACCATGTGGGATGATGTCCGAAAGATTCCTGTTGCGGGCGCTCCAACACAACCTTGCCTTGTACTGTTCAAAGGAGCTCTGTTGTGAAGCCTTCCGAAACAGTCTTTTAGATTCCTTTCCACAGGATTCCAACTGTTGTGAAGTAATCCCTCTGAAGCACTTTCCAAATGATTACAGGTACGCTTGTCTATAACAGAATGTGACTGTGGCGCTTTCTCATGGATCCCTGTTTTGAGGCCATCCACTGGAGTCCCTGTGTAGCGCTTCGCACAGAATTCCGAGTGCGAGGTTTTCCCATAGAATCTAGAATCATTGTGTGACACTTTCCAACGGATTCCTGATGTGAGGCTCTCAATAGGATCTCTTTTGTGGCGCTTCTCAAAGGATTCCTCTTGTGATGTTTTTCCATAGGAGCCCTCAGGAGTGCTTTCAAAAACGGCTCCGATTATGACATTTTCCCATAGAATCCCTTGGTAATGAATCCCAGCGGACTCCTGTTGCGAGGACATAGAATATCTTTGCTTCGCTTTTCAGAGGAATTCGCTTGTGATGCTTAAAGAAAGAGATGCGCATAATGTGTATGTGAGAGAGAGGCGAAGGGCGAAAGCGAGAAAGGAAATGTAAGTAGAATGACGAAGACACGGCTGAAAGCTCGTAAAAACTCCGCTGGCACACCGAGGGCCTCCACAATCCCCCGGCCTCTCCTCCTCCTCCTCCTCCTCCTCCTCCTCCTCCTCCTCCTCCTCCTCCTCCTCCTCCTCCTCCTCCTCCTCCTCCTCCTCCTCCCTGTGGCTGCAAGAGAGAGAGAGAGAGGAGCGTAGCACCCTGGGGGGAGGGGGCAGCTGGGCCGGGGGGGGCAGCCGGCATCGGCAACCAGGGTGCGAAACCAGACGCCGACGCACCGTTCAACAAGTATCGCGCCCTGTCGAAAGGACGCGCTGTGCGTGCATGACGAGTCGCAGCTCTGAGCCGACAAACTCGGCTAGAAAGTGACAAATGAAGAGCAAAAAACGCGAGAGCAGCACGGCCTGTACAGGCGGCGGCCCCAGCCTGCAGGCCGCGTCGGTCCCCGGGCCACTTACCTGCACATCACGCCATTGAAAACTTTTCCACGCATGTTATCGCAACCCAAAAACGCCGTTCTTGTGATACGCATACCCAGGTCTGGGCAGCAGTTCATCCTCCTCCCTCTTCCTTTCATCCCTTCCCCCCCTCCTCCGCACCCTCCGGAGCGACGGAGTTCGCCTGTTGAGGCAGATGGTTTTTTCATCAGCCTCTTGAACACCGCCTGCAGGACCACGTCCTGCTTGTCCGCCGCGATGTCCATGCAGGACTTCTGCTCCTTCACCCCACACCCCTCGCATTCCCTTATCGTCCGCCTACTCCTGCTCCCTCCAATCCTCCAATCCTCCGTTTCCTCCTCCCCCTCCCCCTCCTGCTCCAAACTTTTTCCTGAAAAAACAAACTCTCCCTGTCGCACCATCAGACGTGTCGTTGCGGCGGGCCGAGCGGTCCCCCTGAGACGCCCTCACCACTTACGACCTTGAAGCTTGGAACATCCAGCAGTCATACGGAGAACAAATCGTTTTCAAAAAGGGGCTCTCCCCTTGGCGCCGCGCACACTCGTCTCTTGTCCAAAACAACTTTTGCACCTAGGGGGTCTTACTAGCGTTGCTAAGAAAATGGGATGGATGTGTCGTGATTTCAGCTGGTGCCTATTTGCTGCCGTTTCGTTGCCGCCTCGTTGCCTCCTCGTGCGCTGAGTGAATGGAGGAGGTGAGTGGGTGAGATCGAAGTGGAACGGAGAGCCCCCCTACCGGGAAATCGGTTTCGGTTTCGTGTTCGTGCGTGCCGTGCGTGCGGGCGAGGCGAAGCTGCGTGGGCGGGCGAGAAGAAAGCCTCCTCCGGCTGAGGCGCGGCCAACCAAATGTTTCCTCTCCGGGGGCCGGTGCCGCGCGGTGTCCCGCCGGTGTCCCGCCTCCAGCTGAGGCGCGGCCGGACCAAATGTTTCCTCTCCAGGGGCCGGTGCCGCGCGGTGTCCCGCCAGTGTCCCGTCGGTGTCCCGATGATGATGATGATGATGATGATGATGATGATGATGATGATGATGATGATGATGATGATGATGATGGTGGTGGTGATGGTGATGATGATGATGATGATCATGATGATGATCATGATGATGTCGATGATGTTGATGATGATGGTGATGGTGGTGATGATGATGGTGTCCCGATGATGATGATGACGATGATGATGATGATGATGATGATGATGATGATCATGATGATGATAACGATGACTGTGATGATGATGGTGATGATGATGATGTTGACGATGTTGATGATGATGATGATGATGGTGGTGGTGGTGATGGTGTCTCGATGATGATGATGATGTTGATGATGATGATGCTGCTGATGATGGTGTCCCGATGAGGATGATGATGATGATGATGTTGATCCTGATGATGTTGATGATGATAAAATGATGCTGAGATGTTGATGAGGATGTTGTTGCTGATGATGATGTCCCGATGAAGATGAGGAGGTTCATGATGATGCTGCTGATGATGATGGTGATGATGATGGTGTCCCGATGATGATGATGTTGATGATGATGATGACGATAATGGTGTCCCGATGATGATGTTGTTGATGAGGATGATAATGAGGTGATGATGATAAGTTCGATGATGGTAACCCGATGATGGTGATGATGATGCTGATGTTGGAATGATGATGGTGTCCCGATGATGATGATGATGGTTACGATGATGATGGTGTCCCCAAGATGATGATGATGATGTTGATGATGATGTTGCTGGTGATGATGATGGTGTCCCGATGATAATGATGTTGATAATGTTGTTCATGATGATGATGAGATGATGATGATGATGGTGTTCCGATGATGATGACGATGATGATGGTGTCCCGATGATGATAATGATGATGATGTTGATGATGATGATGGTGACGATGATGGTGTCCCGATCATGATGATGATGGTGATGGTGATGATGTTGATGATGATGCTGATGAGGTGATGATGATGATGATGATGATGGTGTCTCGATGATGATGATGTTGATGACGTTGGTGACGATGATGTTGATGATGATGACGTTGATTGTGATACCGATTGTGATATTGATAGTGAGATCGATAGTGAGACCGAATGTGAGATCGATTGTGAGATCGATAATGAGATCGATAGTGAGATCGATTGTGAGATCGATAGTCATATCGATTGTGAGATCGATCGAATGAAATAGATCGAGTAAGATCGATTGTGAGATCGATCGAGTGAGATCGATCGAGCGAGACCGATAGTGAGATCGATAGTGAGATCGATAGTGAGACCGATCAAGTGAGACGTTGGTTCTTCCCCCCCCCCGAACCTCCTTATCACCCGAAGGGTGGTCGTATAGGTATTGGGGTTTCGGCCGGTACCCGGTTGCTGCCGCCTCGTTGCCGCCTCGTGCGCTGGGTGGGTGTGCCCTGATTTCGGCCGGTGCCCGGTTGCTGCCGCCTCGTTGCCGCCTCGTTGCCGCCTCGGACGCTGGGTGGGTGCATCGAAGTTTCGGCTGGTGCCTGGTTGGTGCCGCCTCGTTGCCGCCTCGGGGTTTCGGCTGGTGCCCAGTTGGTGCTGCCTCGCTGCCACCTCGTTGCCGCCTCGGGCGCTGGGTGGGTGTGTTGGCATTTCGGCTGGTGCCTGGTTGTTGCCGCCTCGCTGCCGCCTCGTCGTTAGTGCCCTGGGTGGGTCGGAGTTTCGGCTGGTGCCCGCTCGTTGTCGCATCTCTCGCCACATAGCTTGCCATTTGGGCTAAAATTCCCAACCCCGTTCGGGGGGTTGGGAGCTTGCCGTGGCCATCGTGGCTCAGTGGCGCCGCCCGCGCGGGGTCTCCTTCGGGGCGCGGGGCGGCGGTGGGGCCGCGGGGCGCGGCGCGCGGGGGTGGTCCTTTCCCCCATCGCCTCCATGGGCCGCCTTGCTGGTGGCCCGGTTGCGGCCTGGCTGGGGCCAGGCGGCGAGCAGGTCGGGTACCTCGTGGAGGCGGCGGTGCGCGCGGCGGTGGTGGCAGGCGCCACGCCGCAGGTTGCAGCTGCTGTCGGAGGTGCGGCGGTGGAGGCAGCGCTCCGCGGGGCGGGTTCCGCCGGGCGCGCCGCCCAGCAGGTGCCTGAAGCTCCCAGGGCAGGCGTCGTCGGTGGGGCTGCTGTGGGGAGGGGCAACGAGACACTGTGCGAGCCGCCCGAGGGCGGCGAGGGTGCCCAGGACGAGTACGACATTGGCTCGGGGTCGGTGGACTCCGACTTTGAGCGCAGGGACGTAATCCAGATCTGGATTATGTTACGAGGCCCTGGCAAATGCGCAGCCTCCAGCGGGAGCGCGACGAGGCGCTCGACCTTGCGTCCGAGCTGGCCGAGGAGTGCATGGAGCTGCGGGCGTTGGCTTGGCAGGGCAGGGCAGGTCACGGGCCCTCGTGGACCTCGGCGGGCTCCTCGCGGTGCAGGCCGAGGCCGAGGCCGACGGCATCAAGGCCGAGGCCGCCGGGGACGCCGGGGACGCCGGGGACGCCGCCGGGGCCGCCAGGGCCGCCGTGGGCGGTGGGGCCAGGATTCTGGGCCCAGAGCGCGGCGACCCAGAATAGCCCCAGCACGCTGCCGAGGCCGCCGGGGACGCCGCAGGGGCCGCCAGGGCCGCCGCGAGCGGCGGGGCCAGGATTCTGGGCCCAGAGCGCGGCGACCCAAAATCGCTCCCGCATGGCGGGCCGCCGACGTGGTGGCGCTTTGTGGACGGCGCCTGGTGCGCAGACGAGGGCCCTGCCGCGGGGGCTGTGGCTGCAGGGCCCATGGGAGGCGCGGAAGTGGGCCAGCATGTGGACGGCGACGTTGGCAGGGTAAACGACCTGGTGAAGCAGATGTTCGCAGTCGACGGCGAGACTGACGAGGAGGCCGACGGCGGCCAGGCGGCGCTGGGCCGATGACTTGGACGACCGCGTCGACGGCGGCATGGTGCTGCTGCCAGCAGTGCCACCGTGGCCGGCGTTGGCCAGCGGGCTGGACGGCGAGCACGTGCCCCTCCACGTGTTGCAGAACCAGGCCGCGTACCAGAGGGCGGCGGACGCGATGGCCGAGCGGAGGCTCGCCGGCGACGCCCTCGTGGAGCTGCCGCCGAGGGCCGCACGAGGCACGGCCGTGCGGGAAGGGCGCTGCGCGGTGCCTGGAGCCCTTGTTCTCGGGCCGCCCGGCGCGGAAGGCCCGCTCGACGAGCCGAGGGAGCCGACCTGGGGCAAAGAGCCGCCCATGCGGGGCCATATCCAGGGCGAGTAGTGGGCTCGCCTGGCAGCCAGGTACAGCAGGGTTCAAGTGGGGCCCCTGCACCACCAGGTCCTGGGAGCGCCGCTGCAGAGTTTGTTTGGGGCCCAGACGGGGACCAAGGAGAAGATCGAGCAGCGCCTCGTCTGCCTCGAGGGATTCGTGCAGGCTGCTGAGGACATAGCAATGGGAAGAGATTCCATTTGGCGTGTGAACTGAGCCTGATTGAATTGAGCAGAGGCTTGCAGTGCATCTTGAATTATACGCTGCGCGGTTGCCTGGCACTCAAAGTAGTGGCGGAAGATGGCTGAGGCCGTGATTGGGCTCCTGAGGGAGCCTATGAGTCGTTGGCCTCACGGCTGTGACGTGAAGTTCGTGGGCAGTGTAAAGCAAAACAAAAGCTTACACATCCTCAGTGCAATACCTCACCCCTTGGGCTCCAGGCTGGCAAGCATATAGCGTCCAACGGTTACACTGATGGATGGCGGGTGGTTTTCCAAAATGGGGCTCTCGCCCTGGCGCCGCAGACTCGTCTTTTTGACAACCCACACGCTGCAAGGATGGAGGGCGGGTGGCTTTCAAAATGGGGCTCTAGCGTGTGCTACCCGCATACTTGTCTCAAAAACGACCAACAGTTTCACGGGTAAGGCTCTCGCCCTTGCGCCGCGCACATCGTCTTACAAATCTCAGACTTACTCGAATGGAGGAAGATTCTTCGCCAAAATTGAGCTCTCGCCTGAGAATTCGTGCAACAGTTACAGAGGGGTAGTGCGGCTCTTTTCCTATTGGACCATCGCTTGAGATTTCATCATGGTGTACGCCCAAAAGTACAGCATTAACACGGATGAAGGGCTGTTCCTTCTCAAAGTCGGGTTGCCGCTGTACACTTCCTTGAACTTCCACCTTTCCGCATTCCTTCCTTCTAGC